TTGGTAAAACGTGCCAAGATCCCTTGGTGAAAGGTTCTCCAGCCATGCAGTATTCTGATATTGGTGGCATGTGTCAGATGAGCGGAAAATGTCATCTTTGTGTTGTCTCTAAGGTGCAAGGGAGGCTTGTGTATTCCAGTCTCCCTCCCCATCCCATCCACAACCAGACAACTTGTGCAACAGACCACAAGAGACAAATAATGGAAAAAAGTGTATTAAAATAGTCACAAGATTACAATAGAAAACATTAAAATCAGTCAAGAAAAATTAACAGTATGATTTTAGTATCCAAATCAAAAGAATCTGTCCAAGCAAAGCACAAAGCACAGTTGCTATCCCCGGCTCTCCACGGCCTTAACTTTAGTGAGGCCATGCAGTATACATCTGGCTCCCTCCCACAATAATTATACACCCATTTTATAGGTGTTTGTCTTGCTTCCTCCACCCCCAAAACCAGGCAGGATACTGGTGCGCTATCCTCTTAGTGAGGAGGGGGCTTTCCTCCCCGGTTTAGGAAGATACTTTCCAAGTTAGAGGTCTGTAGGAACAAGAACCGAAAGCTCCTGTCTTCCTGCCCAAAGTGTCTCTAATACTCCATGTTAGAGCTGCTTTGGAGTGAGGGGGAACCAGCATATTCACCCCAGAAGGCAGGAAACTTTATTCAACTTAAATTCCAGTTTTAGAAAGTGCAGAAATACCTTAAAAATAAAAGGGGTTGCTTGTGTTTGAGAGGGAGGAGGAGAGAAGCCTTAAAAAAAAAAAAAAAACACACACACACACACACTGGAATAAAGTCTGAGCAAAGTAGTTTATGATTTAGGGATCTCCATCACTTAGTCCTGCCTCAGACCAGGGGGCTGGATTTGAGGGCTTCTTGAGGTCCCTTCCAGCCCAGCATTTCTATGATTCGATGCATTCTGGTGGCATTTATCATACAGTGTGGCAAGACCTAGATGCTGGTATGATGGGAAAATGACTGCAACCCCAGCAATGTAGATACTGTCGGAGAAACTACTTCCCCAGATCTTTGACCACAGATTCATTTTCAAGGGGGAAAATACTCCTCAAACCCCACCCCCCATATACATAAAAGAAAAATCATGGTTTTAAAGGTCCTAGACAGATACGAGAATAATGTAAACACCAAGCAAGGTTTAAAACAGGTTCCAGGGCAATTATGTTAGAGATCATATGGTTCTTCACCCTACCACCTCAACAGTCCACTCTCTAGGGAAACAAAGCCTTTAAGTTTCGTGTACACGTACACACACGAGTTACAAGGCAGATGGTTACCCAAACAACTCTGGAATATTAAAAGAAATTAAAAATCTAATTCCAGTTTCTAATCATAAACTGAAATGTCAATAGAACTCTAAAAAACAGAGCACTCCAGGTATAGATTGGGCCTTATGCACCAATACAGACCACTGCTACTGTGGGAAGGCTCTCAACGTAACAGCTCCTCCAAGCACCACCTAAAATACCCTTGTCCTATCCCCTCAACCCTGGAGAACTGCAGTCAAACACTGACCTATGCATGGAAAGAGGTGTTGGAGATAAGATGTGGAGAAGAATACAGCTGCCAATTCATTCGCTGGACATCAGAGTTAGCAAGTAGCAACACCAGCCCTCTGAATGCTGCACCTATATGCTTGTTTGCTGGCAGTCAACTAAGGGTTAAAAGGCCTCAGTTGTTGAAACAGAATTTTGCTGCTTTGCCAGCTTTTCAGTTCTAGCGAGGAGCAGCAGCATGTTTTCTGAGGGGAAGACAAGCAAAACAGAAGTGATACCATCCAACTCTTGCTCTCAGAAAGGTGCCAGTTCCTGTAGCAGACAGAACCAAGGCGGCAATCCCAAAGGGTATTTGTTTTTGTCTGCAGTGAGTACAAGGTCAGTTATAGTCAGGAGAACTCCTTCTCCCGACAAGTAGAAAATGTTATGTGGTACTGACTCTAGTTTCTGTGCTGTGACATATTACGCCCTGAGCAGTAAAGACAAGATTTATAAAGAATTCGCCATCCTCGATACAATGCAATTCCCATGGAGCTCACCTCAGCTCGTTATCCAAGAGTTGCCTCCATTGTTACAGCCCTTAGGCTTGGTCTACACTTAGAGCACGTCTACAGTATGGGTACTATAGTGACACAGCTCCAGTGCTTTAGTGTAGATGCTTCCTACATTGACAGAAGACAAACTGCATCTACACTGGGAGTTAGGTTGGCTTAACTACAGCATTCAGGGCGATGAATTTTTCACACCTCTGATCAATGCAGTTAGGTCAATCTAAATCTGAAGTGCAGACACCAGGGCTTAAAAATTAGGTTGACACAGCTATGTCAGTCAGGGATGCAAAACACACAAAAAACCACACCCCCAACCAACAAAGCTAAACTGACCTAACCCCCCCGTAGAGAGAGCTACATTGACAAATTAATGCTTTCATTGTTCAGGGAGGTGGTGTTTCTACACCAGCAGAAAAACCCCTTCTATCAGCATAGGCTGTGCCTCCATGATAGGGTCATGCTGGCATAGCTCTGCTGTTGTAGCTATGCTGGTATAGTCTCCACATTGTAGACAAGCCTTGAGTAATTGACTGCAGTACAGAAAGGGGTGGTGAGGAGGAGAAGAATGCAGCCAATTCATTCCATTTCACAGCTTCCAAAATGGGCTAATGCAGCGGTTCTCAAACTTTTGGGCTGGTGACCCCTTTCACATAGCAAGCCTCAGAGTGCGACCCCCCCCCTTATAAATTAAAAACACTTTTTTATATGTTTAATACCACTATAAATGCTAGAGACAAAGTGGGGTTTGGGGTGGAGACTGACAGCTCACGACCCCCCATGTAATAACCTCGTGACCCCCTGAGGAGTCCCGACCCCCAGTTTGAGAACCCCTGGGCTAATACGATCAGACCAGTGTCTGGGATTTCACTATAGCTTCATTCAGGGTATGTCTACACTTTAATCACTGCAGCGGCACAGCTGCATCTGCACTGCTGTAGCGCTTCAGTGTAAACACTAGGTTCTCCCATCGGCATAGGTAATCCACCTCCCCAAGAAGTGGTAGCTAGGTCAATGGAAGAGTTCTGTCTACACCAAGGGATAGGTCAGCATAGCTACATCTCTCAGGGGTGTGTGGATTTTTCACACCCCTGAGAGATGTAGCTATGCCAAGGGCAATGAATTTATAATTTTAATAGACAATAGCAACACTTATTTTTAAGCATCTTTTTCAATTATCAATTTAAAATTTCAAAGTTGCACACAATTATGGGTTTTAAGCATTTTTTCAGTTTAAACTTTCACAGTTGTGAGAAATTGAGGGATGAAACAATTTAATGACAGTAGATGTTGAGATTTAAAAAGTTAAAGCATTATAACCATTAGCACACAAACTGTCAACATCCTATGTCAAAATATACAAAGTAAATAGCCTTAAATCAAACCAATAAGTTCTCAAGCAGAATTTCTTACTTTGTCTACCTCTAAATTTCAATTATTGATGGAAATATTTATGCGTCAGTTTGTGCATATACAGTGAAATCAACATTTGACATTTACCGATAAAAATCTAATCCTTCCAACCCTAGTCAGTCACACAGTATTAACTGCTAGCCTCATCCCCATTTCAGTTTTTACACCTGTTTTACCCTGACAAGGGATTCTGCTTATCCTTGAGCTGTGCTACAAGCCTGCCTTCTCCTACTTAGCACTCGGCATTCATCAGAAGTAGTCCTACACAGCACAAACCTCAGCAGGGCCTGGGATGGACAAAGGCAGCAAACCTGGAGGAATTTTAAAAGCCCTTTAAATTTTGCATTTCCTTTTAACTGACAAAAATCTGGGTTAGTGGCAGGGAATCAAGAGGAAACTCTGCATGCTCCATTGGCTAAAAGTATAGGGTTAAAACTGATCATGTCTCTGGTCTGATCTCATTAGCCACAAGGCAATCATGAACTCCTCTGAACTGAGTGAAACCTGAAGACAGCTCACTCAGTCAGAATCAATCCACTTCCATTAACACCGGTTACTGTTCCTGATAAACAAGCTTCAAAGTTAAGACAAATCAAGGGAAAGTAAGTTCATAATAGTTTCAGTCCCATATTGCATCAAGTCTTTCTGGCTACAGCTTTAAGACAGCTACATCATAGAAGCTATCTACTCCCGCCATGGAATGTTGGTTATGTTCCCATAAATGCAAAAGACGTCCCTAGTCAGGCTCAGACAAGATCTCAGATCATGATGCCTGCAGTTCACTACACACAAGAGGCAGCTTGTTTCCTTCCAGAAGGACTCAATGAACCTTTGGAAATATAAGCAAGTGTTTATAAAGATACAAGGGAAGAACAAAGAGGATCTAAAACCTTGAAATGAATCTCTCCAGTGTGGGTCTAACTCACATGCCTTCAACTAGACTAAACAGGTCACAGGGGAGATTCCCAAAAGAGCAAGCTAGCCAGAATGTCAGTGATCTAGGTGGGGCTGCAAGCTTTCTGCATTATTCAATTTTTCCTGTTCTAGCAGATCACAGGAGATGGGACTTTAGTAAGAGTCAGTGACAGTGGAACCAAGAATGGCCCTGTCCTCTTCTAGCAGCAGGCTTGTGATGGTCCCATTCATCACACTTCTCCCCCTTACTCTAAACCAGCTTCAGGGAAAGACAGTATAGACAGATTATTGCAAGTAAAGTTTTATCACTTTTCCTTTTCCACAAAGTGCAATGTCATCTCTCTCCAGAAGAGCCCCTGCTTCCTGCTACAAGTGGACAAACAACCCAGCAGGTTTCACTGGAAGCAGGTTGTCCCAGGGAAGGACACATCAGGATCTAACAAGCAAGTTACCCAGATATGAAGCTTCCTAGACGCCCCCTTCACTTAGGGTGACCAGACATCCCAATATTTAGGTGTTTGTCCCGCGTCCTGACCAATCTTTGGTCGGGACGCAATTTGTCCCGATATTTTGCTCCGCCGGCAGCACTCGGCGATTTACTTTTTTTTTTGCTCGGCTGCCGGACCCCCCCCAAATGTGTCCTGATATTTTCTTCCTCTCATCTGGTCACCCTATCTTAGCTTACTTATTAAAAGTTGGGTTTTATTTTCACTGCACAAACCCCACTGGGCCAACACAGTCCCTGTGTTCTAAGGGACTGGCTTTAAGCTCTAACAATACATGGGCTCAATACAGGAGTAACTATATGAAATTCTATGGCCTGTGATATACAGGAGGTCAGACTAGATGAGCTAATAATGGTCCCTTCTGGCCATAAAAATCTATTAATCTATGAGCAATGTCACCATTATATAAATTTAAAGTTCTCATACATTTAAAGGGGTGAAGGGTAGACATTTCAAATGGCTAAAATTTACCAGATCTTTTATAACTTAGCTCTTCCTTCTCCCATGCAGATGGGAGGGTTTTTCTGAGCAAAGAGGTCTAATTGTATAAGTAAGATGAGGTGGCCGTCAATTTGTATAGATTGGAGAAGAGGAAATATCCTATAGAAACTACCTTCCTCATATCCATCCCTTCAAAAAAGGAAAACCCTGTTGAAAAACGACCAGGTAAATCTAGAATCCCCTAGCACCTTCCAGTTTCCCCATTAATGATTGAGACAAAAAATACTTTAAAATTGCCATGTTATGTATTTTCACTTTTTCTCCCCTTATCCTAGATACAAAAAAAGAATATTGGCCATTTATAAGCAGAATTCTTACTGCATCTCAACATGCAACACTGGTCTCACTTCTGTACGATTAAATAGACTATTTACACACAACACACATATATCTCTCTGTATTCACATGCATTGGTCCTAGCCTAGGCATCAAAGGCCACATGTGAGTTCTCTGGGTCACATTTGATTCAAGCCATTCCAGTTTGAATTTTTGTTTTGCTTTGGATATGGTGGGATCTCCTCAGTTCTTCCGAATGTCAGCATAAACCACGGATTCCGACTTGTTAATCTTGTCGCTGTGTTGCCCACCGGAGTGATCTAATTGGGCATAAATGACTGGGCCCTGAGGACAGAGAGAAAAAACACAGAATCAGCGCTTTTAAGAATGGGTTGCACTTCCCTCTCCCTGCTGCAGGGTCTCCTGTGAGAATTCAGGGACAGCAAATGCACAGTCCCTGATAGCTAATGGAACCCCAAAGCAAGTAGACTGAGCCTTCACCTATACAAGAAATCTGGTGTGTCACTTACTTGCAACCCCAGTGTACCATGCAGCACAAGGGCTCATTTTAACTAGATTGGCCGGCGTGTGAAGAATGCAAGGTAGGATCCACAGTTCTGAAATGTATCAGAGTTTCCTCAGACACAGAAAGCTATGAAGAAGATACATAGCTCGGTCAGAGGCAAGCTAGGGTTTAATTTTTTAAGCATCATACTGTGCTACAGATTGCCACTAAGTGACAGAATTCATTTTATGCACTATAACTGCAGACCTTCAAATCCTCAGTACAACTTCCCTTTTGTAATACTGGAGGATCAGTTCCTCAAGTAGAGTGAATGAGTTCTAGCCTGCAGCCACAGTGCGATATGATGTAGTCACTATTCACCAGCTAAGTAAGCAACCGGATCAATTCTATGATATAGTGACAAGGACCACTTAGATGCTGCAGCTAGTGATGACTCAGTAGTTGGTGCACCTCCCTCAGTATTGACCCAGGGCCTTAGCTTGGTTTTAAAACAGAAGATCTAACCATGGGGGTCATCAAGGCTCCCTTGGCACCTAAGTAGCAATATCAGGCCTGTGCAGGTCCTCAAATTGTGTTCTGGCCAAAACAGCTCATCTCATTCTCTTGCGGTTTTAAATAGATTTAGTATTCTCCATGACCTAACCTGTTCTGCTAAACTACTATCATGTTCAGATAGCTGCACTTCAGTGATCAATGAAGGAATCCTCATATGTAGTTTGTGGTTCACACCAAAGAACTTGACAGACACTGCCAAACAATTTTGTTTCAGTGCCCCAGAGGGCAGCAATGCACAGGAAGCTTCAGAACAGAGGTACTAAATGCTCTGCTGAAACCCATAGGTTCACCACGAATACCTGTGCTCCCTGAAACGCAACCTGCAGGAATATGAAGTGCAGAGTGGGATGGGGATGGGACTGGAGTGCTCCATATCCCAAAAGCAGGTATCTGAGAAGCAGGCGAAAGGGTGGGAAATTGATTTCAGCAAAACGACAACTTCTCAGTTGCAGTGCTAGGATATTGCACTTTCTCAGTGAGTTAGATACAAAAAGGGGCATCATTTCAGAAAATTTAAAGGGGAAGGGAGGGAAGTTGCACCCCTCTACCCCGATATAACGCTGTCCTCGGGAGCCAAAAAAATCTTACCGCATTATAGGTGAAACCACGTTATATCGAACTTGCTTTGATCCGCCGGAGCACGCAGCCCCGCCCCCCCGGAGCACTGCTTTACTGCGTTCTAACACGAATTTGGATATATCGGGTCACGTTATATCGGGGTAGAGGTGTATCAGCATAAAAACATGATATGTGATTATATTGTATCCTACAAAGCTGGGGGAGGGGGCAAAAAGTGGAGCAGACACACACATGGAAAGATGGAGGAGCAAACAAAGGTGTGGGGATGAAACTGCCCCCCTTACCTGATAGCAAACAATGCCCCTGGATACAAGGCTGAGGATGGTGCAGCCATCTGAGAAGTGGTCTCAGCACAACAGAGTCTGCACAGAGTGCATCTACGCTACAGAGACTATACCAGCAGAGCTACATGACCACAGCTACATAGGCATAACCCCGTAGTGTAGACAAAGCCTAAACCAACTGAAGAGGTTGTTCTGTGTAGGAACACTGCCTGCTTGAATTATGGTAGCTATTCGACAGAAGCAGCAACCTTGTTGCATCTACACCAGGGGCAGGTTAGCACAGCTATGTCAGTCAGGGGGTGGATTTTTCACACCTCGACTGACTTAGCTATGTCAACCTCACTTTTACGCACAGACCATGCCTCAGTCACACTTACAGTCCTAATGAGAACTAAGAGGAAGCGACTGACTTTGCCCCATTGGGAAAAAATAATTACGTCACTAAAAGTGGTTCTAAAACCAAAATATTTCCAAGTCTCTACACCAGCTCTTATTTCCCTTTAGTCAGTTTGACTGACTTTCTCAGCTTCCCTGATCTCTCTGGATGAAAGTGGCCTTCACATACCCACTATGGTTCCCTTTCTTTCCTGGAAGGATGCGTTTCAAATGTGATTGTGTTGAATCAGACGCCCCTACAATTGACTCTCCAATAGAGTAATTAGAAGCAAGGTGTGAGAAAAGTCTGGCCCTCTCCTGAGAGAGACGCGCTATCTGAAAGCCAGCTCTTGCATGCTTCTGCTCAGCAACTCTTCAACAACTACTGCTTCCAAAATACTCTATTTCTCTGTTAAAAGAGGAACTGGAGATTATAAACTACTTCTGGGGAAAATAGTTATCAAACTAAGCTAAAAGCCTCCTAGGAAAAAGGGGAGGCAAAAGAAAGGTAACAGCAAAAGTAAGGCTGATGCCCTCCAGAGACACATGGGTACTGGAAAGATATAGCTGCCACATACATATACATTATTAAACAGGAAAGTGGGAGGAGGAAGGGGAAGAATTCCAAGGGAGATGGTCTAAAGGTTTTTAAAATAAAAAGCTGTCAATTTACATCAATTTAATTCATTGGACTGGACGGTAGGCACTGGTGGTTCCCGGCTATTAATCGTGATGTTATCACTACTTACAGTAAGAATGCAGGACTGCCTCACACAAATTAATGCACCTGTATAGAAAGTGCCAAATGACCCGAGAATTTGTTCTTTAGGAGTGAGAAACAGCTCCTTTTCCCCCTTAGATACAATTTGGGTATGTGATTGTGAAGCACAGAGGGTTACACACCAATATACTGTAAAGATATCCCACCTATTCAGATCACTGCCAACTGTCTGATCAGATCATAAGCTACTAACAGACCTCTCCACCATCTGAGAAAGTAGAATCTCTGCAAACACCCCCTGTTCTGAGGGATTTGTGCTTTACACATCTGTCTGCTGGGTAACTGATCAAATGTCATGTAATTACTCCTGAGAAGCAAATGCAATCACACCGGTGAATGCCACTAATGGGACACCTCAGTCTTTTCTTCCATAGCAAAACACTACCCCTGTAGGGGAAGGGGCAGAAAGACTTGCAGAGTTTTCAAAGATTTTAAACTAGAGACAATGGTCCTAACCAGAATATAGTTTGGGGCTGAGGACAACCCAGCATGCCTTTTAAGACACCAGATGTAGTCGGGTTACGTTGAGCTTCATTACACAAAGTACAGACATGTTCCCAGACACCCTTCTGCAGACCTCTTAAAATCAGAGGGAATATCTGGCAATTTCTATCTAGTTAGTGGTGCCCTGGTACATATTTGGGAAAACATTAAAAACCAGGTTGGCCTAGTCTTATGCATGACAAAAACCTGTTCAGAAACCTGGTTGGGTGGGGAAGGTAATCCTCAGTTACTTGAATCTATATAGAAAGCTGGTCAATTAACTTTTAACATATACAAATGCCAAAAGGAGTTTTAACGGATGGTTCAATAGTTTTACCCTAAGCCCAGTTGTGATGGGACTGAAGTTCATTTTAGCTATTCATGAACAAACATATTGCCTCACGCTAACCTGTATATGCATAAGTAGGACATAATTCAAAGTGAACCAGTGAGGAAGTAGTACAGGGCTATTATCTCGCTAAAAATGTGTCAATGGAGAGCCAGGGAATTACGGTTACTGCAGCAACAGGAACACTGAAATTAAACATACATAAGGCCTGTGAGTCAGACAGCTACATGGACTGCAATGGGTACATGCTCCTAGATTCCTTAAAAAGATGCTAAATAAATGTTCTACAACTTTAAGCTCCAGCTCTAAGTTAAGTATTGGACTGAATAACACATTACAGACAAAACAGTTTCTCTAAGTGTCTGATGCATCTTTGTACTGGCTGTTTGTGCATCTTCATGTAGTATTACATATTAATCACTAGTGAAATACTATTTGGTTTTGATCTGTAGAGCCAAATTAAAAACTTGTCGTCTCAGGGGAGAGGAACTGAGGCTATGTCTACACTACAGAGCTTACAGCGGTGCAGTTGTACAGATGCAGCTGTGCCACTGTAAGTTCTCTCGTGTAGCTGCTCTATGCCAACGGGAGAGCGCTCTCCCATTGACATAATTAATCCACCCCCAACAAGCAATGGTAGTTATGTCGGCAGGAGAAGCTCTCCCGCCAACATATCACTGCGCATACTAGCACTTATGCCAGCATAATTTATGTCGCTCGGGGGGGGTGTGGAATATTCACACCCCTGAGTGACATAAATTTTGCCAAGTGGTAGTGTAGACATGGCCTGGGTGTGCATGTGAAGTTACAAGCAAGTTTTAGAGCCAATGCTGCTTCTGCACGGCCAGAAAAGAGTTTGCAAACCCAGGATATAGGAGCTCAGTATTCAAAGGTGCTGACTATTCATTGTATTTGGCATAGTTCGGTAATGGAAGGCATTTGCCTTCTAATTTTCCTGTCAAATATGTTGGAACCCAAACCACCAGGTAGACTGGAGGATAGCTCCATCAATGGAGGGAGGGGGAAGGGAGAGAGAGATAGCTCCATCTATTAGCCCTAGATGATCAGGGACGCAATGCCATGCCCCGGGTGTCCCTAAACCTCCAGTTACCAGAAGCTGGGACTGGAGAACAGGGGATGGATCACTTGAAACTGCCCTGTTCTGTTCATTCCCTCTGAAGCATCTGGCCCTGGCCACTGTCAGAGACAGGATACTGGGCTAGACTGACCATTGGTATGACCCAATATGGCTAGTTCTTATGCTAATATGGAAGATATTCAGACAACAGAAAATTCTTGCACTCAGAATGGATGCTCCTCTCTGTCATCCAAACAATGGTGATGGCAGAATGAAAATAACTAGAAGGAGGATGGAATGAAATACTATGAAACAATGAGGAAGAGGATGGAGTGGGTAATTGAGACAATACATAGTTCTGACATGATGGAATACACAGATCTGCTGGGAAGGAAAGGACAGTGAAAGTGAACTGTCTGAACATTTAGAGAACCAGATGAAGACAACATCTGGATTTCCTGGGTACTGACTGGTAAGGTATACAGTGGGCTATCCTGAGAGAGCGCTTCCACAAAATGAAGTTAGAATTAAACATCCAAAAAAAAAGTAGAAATGAGGTGCTGTGTACCCAGAGCTACCATGTGGATCAATGGAACTGCAGATGCTCAGCTTCTCTGGAAGTAGAGCGACTCAGATTGAAAAGTTTTGAATAAGCCCCTAGCCTTTATGGCAGCACAGATAGTCTTAAAAATGCGAAGAGTTTAAGCCAATGCACTGAGCTCTGCACAAGCCCGCAGATAGCCTGACACAATAGTTCTAAGCGGTGTGAACTGTCCCATTTATTTAAAGGGCATCAACCCTTAAGTTTGATAACCATTTAAAAGTCAACATTCGCTTCAATGTAGCTCATTTTAACATAAACACATTCAAGCAAATGTGTTTGTCATTTCTGGAGGCAGTGACAAATATTGGGGTGAAAGATGGGGGAGCAGCTAGTTGCTGTTAAGGTTTGCTGAAACAAATGAGGAAAAAGGGGAATTAAGTTCAAAATCCCCTCTAACCTTCTAAAAGAAACGCATCCCTACTGTAGTACTAAAACCCTTAAACCAAACAAAGCCACTTCCCAGAACTTTCTCTGCACCTAAAAAGTTCAAGTGTTCCCTACCCAGCTAGCAACACCTCCAGCTTTCCCTTTGGAATTGTAACAATTTAGGCTGTGTCTACACCTCCACTTTCAGCGCTAAAACTTTAGTCATTCAGGGATGTGAAACCCCTCCCGCCCCCAGTGACAAAAGTTTTAGCATTGAAAAGTGCCAGTATAGAAAGCTACCACCCCTCATTCGGGGTGGTTATTTTTTAAATTGCCAGGAGAGTTCTCCCCCAGTGACTACACTGCCCATGTCACAGTACTGCCACAGCCGCGTTGTAACATGGGCAGAATAGACATACACATAGTTACGGTCATTGTCAATGTGCTGCAAACTTTTGTAATTTAAAATGTGGGATTATTTTGTTAATTAATTTAATTTATAACACAGAATAGTGTACTAATTGCACTAGAGGGGTGAGGACGAAGAAGAGAGTCCCACAAGATTCTGAGGTCTAGTGCTTAAATTAGATCTAATATGCCACATGGAGCTTTGTAAGACAAGGAATAAGAGCCAGACAAGAGACAGTGGAAAGTGGGTCAGGACCCCTTTGAATGGGGTCACCAGGACTGGCTTAGACTTGCTGGGGCCCGGGGTTGAAGCCTGAGCCCCACTGCCCAGGGCCAAAGCCAAAGCCCAAGGGCTTCAGCCCTGGGTGGGAGGGCTCATGTTGCTGGTCCCCTGCCTGGGGCTAAAGCCCTTGAGCTTCAGCTTTGGTCCCCCTGCCCAGAGCGGTGGTGCTCAGGCTTTGTCCTCCCCCCGGGGCTCGGGCAGGCTCATGATTCGGTCCCCCCTCCAGGAGTCATGAAGTAATTTTTGTTGTCAAAAGGGGGTCGCAGTGCAATGAAGTTTGAGAACCCCTGGTCTAAGGGCTTGTCTATACAGGAAAATTGACTGGAATAGCTGTTGCAGAATAGATTTCCCCATGGGCACTCTGACTCCGGAATAAACTCATCCACATGGGGAGCTATTCCAGAACAGCTATTGCGCTTTAAATTCACACCTTATCTTATTCTGGAATGAATTTCCTGTGTACGAAAGCCTGGAGAGGGACGGGGGGGACCAAAAATCAAGGACAGCCAACACCTTTTAGCTAACATGTTTTGAAACACTTAGCACCTAGCATAAACATCTTTAAAAAAAAATTGGCATTTTGTTTGTCTAGATTAAGAGGTCTGAGTTAGCTGCTAACCCTTTCTCTAGTTGTACACACAGATTAGTATCTTTTACCTCCATTTAACTAGTCAAGGTTAACCCTAGAGGCAAACCTAGGTTGACCACAATTGGAAAACATGTTTTCAAATATGTTAAATTCTGTCTACACTAGGTGCTAACACATTTTAAGCTCCACTTAATGGGTTAACTATTGATTTTAAGAATACCTTTTCTCCTAGTCTAGACAAGACTTTTTTGCTTCATCTCTCTCAAACTATGCCTCTCCCACCACTTCGCTTACCCCAACTCAAACCAATAGCCTCATGCTTCCCGCCTACCTCCTTGCTCAGGGCAGCCCAACATTACTATACATCTGAAATATTTAATTTTGACTCTAGCTGAAAGGAAAGTTTTATCTTCATTCATCTGTTCTAGGAAGCAGCCCAAAAAAAAAAAAAAAAATCTATTAATGGATAAACTCCATCCAAAGGGAATACAAAGTGATTTTACAAAGTTAAGAAACAGTTCTGAAAACTACAAGTATGCTCCCTTCCCAATCACTTACAAGTCCTCCAGCTAACACCATGGCTAAAATTAAAAGGCACCAGAAATACAGAGCTATGAAACCACCTAATCTTCCTTTTCAGAATGTCGCACTGTGGCTTTTCATATATGTAGACTGTAAACTCTATGGGCCAGGGACTTTGCCTTCATTCTGCTCTATGAAGTGCTTAGCATGTTTGGCACTATTAACATAAAAGTTCATATACAGTACATTTAGAGTGTTCATACAGATCACTCATTTTGATTATGATGTCTCATTTCTTCAATCAGCTCCAATCAGACATCTAGTTATGCATTACAAGGACCTTGTCTACACTACAGGTTACTTCGGTATAACTTATATCGGTCACGAGCATGACTAATCCACTCCTTGACCAACATAAGTTACACCAACCTAAGCACCGGTGTAGACAGCACGATGTCGGTGGGAGGGCTTCTCCTGCTGACATAGCTACTGCCTCTCAGAAAGGCAGGAGTTAAGCCAACAGGAGAGCTGTCTCCAAGTGGCTTAGAGCGTCTTCACCAGAAGTGCTACAGCAGCACAGCTGTGCTGCTGTAAGTGCTGTAGTGGAGATGTAGCAAGGAGCCCTGAACATTCTTGCCAACTCACAACCATATTATATATAGTGTCCCTGTTTGAGAGGTTTCAAGGCTTTCCACTAGATTTTTCCCATAACTCATGAAGGCACTTTTCATTTTCTGTGGGATGATTGTCTGGGTCAGTATCAGATTCTGCCTTCAATTGTTGAGTGGAACCATAGAGGTTCAAAGCCCCAGGAGGGTGAAATGAACTGTTAGAAGTCCACAAGGTTGAATGAACGCACAGGAGCCAAAGACATCATACTCACAGGCAGACTGTTACTGTTTCGTGCTTCAATTGCATTGACTCACTCTTTCAAACACAGGCCTATTCACCACTTAGGCTACATCTACGCTGCAGCTGGGAGGCTCAACTCTGGAAGACATATGTGCTAGCTCTGCTTGAGCGGACACACTAAAAAGGCAGTGTGGCTGCAACAGTGCAGGCAGCAGCTCAGGCTAGATGCAAGAGTACAACCCTGTCCAAGATCCTAGGTACTTACTCAAGCAGCTACCCCAAGCCGTTGCCCATGCCGCCGTGGGCTCATTACTATTTTTAGAGCACTAGCTTAAGCAGAGCTAGCACATATACATCTACCTGAGCTAGGAATCACACCTCCCAGCTACTGTGTAGACACACTGTCTTAGGGTGCATCTGCACTAGGAAAAAGAGGTGTTCTTACCTCATGTTAGTTAACATGGGCTAACTGACATGAGGCAAAATGCTAGTGAAAATAATGTAGTTTTCACATGTAAGAAGATCTTTATTTCAACCTGGGGGCCATGGATCAGCATTCACGTCACACTCCCTGTCAGTACCTGGCCCAAGCCAGGGAAGCTAACGATCCAACCAGCAGATCAATCCTGGTGAATCCTGGTCACGTGTCACCTTAGCACACACTAAGACGACGAGGACCACCTCAATCTGCTAACAGAAGTGAAGGCAGCAAACTGCCTTGTCTTCACTAGGGTTTTACCTCACGTCAGTTACCATGTTAACTAACAAGTCTTTTTCCCCATAGAGAGCACAAGGCCAAAAGGGATATACATCTCACTGTCAGTTCATTAACGGCTAGGTTGAATCCCTGCTTTTTGGAAAAGCTAAAGCTATGAAGTATAGTTCACAAACCCCAACTACAGCTTTACACCCAATCCCATACAGAGCAGATCCCTTTTCCTCCCAGCTGCTTGAGTACATGGAACAACATAGCCAGCTAATTCACCTCTCCCACCCCACCTTCATCCTCTCCACAGCATGGATCCACCTCTCCCACACCCTGGGAGGTCCCTGCATTGGAGCGTACTGAAATTTACCTGGTGCAATCTGGCGGGCACGTGGTTTACCAAACCCTCTGTGTCGGAGGGTGACTTCCGTGGAGCCTGCTTAACTGGCGACATCAAGCTCTCAGAGGTACTGCAGCTGACGAGGTGGCAGAGCAGAATTTGCAGGACAACGTTCAAGAGATACAAACAAAAAACAGGAACAAAAAACAAAAGCAAGTGATGGCAGGATGAAGTGGCAGGCTATGCCAAAGTAAAAGTGATCACAATGGGTATTGAGACCAGCTCACACGTTCTCCCTGCCTACCCAGTCACTCATACACTTGTCCTCATACATATCACAGCTATTCTCCTCTACCCAATAAAGCCAGATTAAGCCATAAGAACCTGGGAATGTGCTTTCTTGTCCTACATATGAGGCATGAGAGAACATCCAGGTGTGAATACAAACTACTTTCTAACTGTGCATAGGCTAACTAACCCCCTCCTCAGCCCATATCAGTTTGAACTTCACCATTTCTACATCTAGCAACAAGAGTGGCAGGAGCCACCAGCTCTTCCATGCTACATAGGTGGCTGCCATCAGTCTCCAGGTTAATTCTTTTGTATTTGACTTGTCTGGGATTCCAGACTAATCCAATCTCTTGTTCTCTGAATGCTAGTTCCTGTAGTGGCTATCATAGTTGTCACAAGTGACTGGGTCGTAATTGCAGCCCCTTATACTTCTAACAGGACAGATCAAAGAGATTTCACTTAGCAACTCTGGGAACAGTTTTGGGGAGGAGGCTGACAGCTCTAAAGTTAGTTCAGTTAGGTTTGCTTTTCCACCTGCTCCTTTCAATCTCCATAGAAGAGACCAGGGAGAGAAGGTAGAAGAAAACATTCACATATCTGGGATTAAGGAGACCAAAATAAGCAATGGTCCTTTAAAATTTCATTAGGCCACCCCTGGTCCCAGCAGCAGCCCATTCCTCTGAACACTGGCCTCCACCTTTCTCCTCTTACCCAAGGATACGCACCAGAAACATACCACTTCTTCCTATACACAAAACAAATATAGGAACTCCCTTTAACACCACTCTTCTGCCCACTAATTAACCCCTCTCTCCCCCACAATGCCCCACCTCTTACACATACAACACATGCAGCAAATACAAACACATGAATAATGACAATGACATTGAGCAGAATGCAACTCCTCACAGGCCAACCTTTTTGTTATCCAAAGGGTTAATCAAACCTTTAGAGAGCCAGCATCTCAGATACATGACAGTAAAAAGGGGAACACTGGAAAAAGGGACCTGGAGACCCAGCAGTGAGGAGCTTCTACTCTGGCTGAAATTGACTGAGAGCAGCCCTTTAAATGGCTAAAATGGGTTACAGTGGATTCCTGGGGTTGACTGTGTATTCCTACAAGTCTATATTGTACCTAAAGGTCACAATGCAATTTTAAGAAGTTTGTGCACCTAGAGATCATGGTGATGGGTACTTTAGAAATCCATCATTATTATCACAAAGAGGAATCGGCACTGGGAATTTAGAAGTTTTATTCCCACAGGGAAGAACTCTGAATGGTCTATGTTCTAGTCCACTGGTGAGTTCACTACTAGAAGAGACTGAGGTACACTGTTTGGGATAAGTAGCTTTCCCACCCCAATTAGACAGAAGACAATGAAACCCAAGCTCCCAATGCAATGTGCCATCCCCTTGCCAACAGTCTGTAACAGGACAATCCAGCACAAGTCACAATGGAGTTATGTTAGCACAGAGCTAGCTGGTTAGTCAGCAAGGGAAGAGGAAATGTGTACACATACACACAGGTATTAACAGCAACCACCAATGTGATTAGTTACCATGGTGTCTAGTGGGACTGGAAGAGGAGACCCAGCCCTGTTACATTCCCAATCTGGCGTCTATATCAGGATCTCTGTAAGGAGAGGAAGATAAGCAGGATCCGATCCCAGCACATCAAGGCAAAAGGAAAAAAAACCAAAGTCAGAATAAGAATGGAGGTTTTGGCACTGCCATGCAGGGGTTCTCAACACCACCCAAATGCCCCCTCCCCACTTTAGTTCAAGACAGAACTATTATCCCAATCTGTGCATTACACTGCCACATATTGGGTTAGTTTCGTTTAAAAATTAGTCCATGAACCTTTGATAGTGATATTAACAGCAATCACAGCACATCTGGCCCTCCCCTTAACCAACACATGCAGGGCTGATATGGTCAGTGAAAGCAGTATTAAGTTTAAAGATGACTCTGCTGGAAGGTGACCTATAATAGTTAAATCTATTAGAATTTACAGTGCACGAATATTACTGACCCAACCCTGGCACCCGCACTGGCATCCTTCACCTGGAAAACACTAGAGTAGAACAACCTGAAGCAAGGCATTTGAATCCTGATATAAGCACCTTTGATGCGTGTCAGTGCATGCTTCCTTTAGTTATGGGGAAAACACATACAGAAAGAAAGCCAGGCTTTCCACACTGAACTCTGAGCACACACAGCTCACTTCACTCAGTCTTACCATTGGACTCTAATGAACCCATTTTCTCCAAGGTCTCCAGCTGGGAACAGGGTGGGGTGGAGAAGAGCTCTTTAGACACTGTCACCACTCAAATTAATTGCACCTCTGACCCCGATGGTCTCCCTGAGGGCACGCAACTTAGGTCTCAGGCCTGTAGCTGTTGCCTTTTTCAGAGCAGAATCCTATGAGTCTCTCACTACAGACTGGAGTCCTTGGCTGCAGACTCCTACAAGTCACTGTGATCACCTCAGTAGGTCTGACTTCAGTTCAGCACCTGATGTTCTGTTCTCTCAGGGGCAGTGTTGTGGTTATCCAGTGACCAGCCAGCTTTCAGAAAGCAACTTACTATCTATTTAGAACAAAAGTATTTGAGAGAAAACATCTTAAACAACTCATATACATACCTAACTTAGTAGGTGGTCACCCATCTTCCACATTGGAGACCAACCCTGGGAGGCCTAATACATTCCAGGTTCTCCTGCAGGGCCTGTTTGTTGGCCACAGTCTCATGTCAGTCAGTTCCCAGATAGGGGGTCTCTCAGTTTCAAGTCCTTTGTCTGCTAAGACCTACGTGCAGTTGTTTGGGGTGTAAACCCATCAGCATGAACACTGTATGCCCCAAACAAGTTAGCTGTGTGACTTCCTCCCTCTGGAGACTCAGCCACTAAGGTTGAGATGCAGACAACCTTTCCAGGACTGCACTGGGCCTCTGCAGACAGACTAGGCAATTCCAGAAACATGAGCCAGTTTGTTACTGCTTTTCACCATTCACCCAGGGGTCCCTCTGAGGTGGCCTCCCACCCAGTAGAGCTGGACCTCTCTCTAGGCCTGATCCCCAGTTTCTGAGCCCACTGCATCCCTGTTAGGCTAATGAATATGCAGACAGCCTGGGTTTGACAGGAAACTTATTTTCCAGCTGCGGTCCCCATACCTGCTCTCCTAATTTGGGTTGCAATCTCAGCATAGGTCATAGCCCCTTTTCAAAACCCTGGAACTTCTTCCTATACATTTCAAGTGTCAGTTTAAACTTCAGCAGTAACACATGCTTACATTGCTCATAGTTTCTATCATCCTCTCTGGCCATATGGATGAAAGCTTTAAGGTCTTCCCTGTCAGTAGTGAAGCCAGACACTACCATATCCTCACGCCCACTCTGTTCAATTCACAACTCATTTAAAAAGCATTTAAAAATACACCTGTTCCTAAAGGCAGGTAACAATTTGGAGTCTATGCCTTCAGAGGAACCAGGTATAAAGGATCTGTCTCCACCTCCTGGAACAAGCAAAGCTCAGCACTTTCTCTCCAATTCAAGCTCCAACTGGCTTTCCTTTTTCTTTCCTGCTGCTGCTTTTCCCTCTCTCCTTGCTCACACTGGTGCTGTTTGTCTTTGTACTGGTACTGCTGTTCCTGGTCCCCAGTCCCCAAGTTTCTGGGTTTCCAAGCGCAGCCTGCCTCTCGCAAGCTGCAGTTTTTTCTCTTCAAATTGCAAGCTGTTCCACATCAACCGCTGAAGTAGTGAATTCAGTCTGGAAGAAGCACAGTTGCTGCCTGGGATCCTCCTCTTCTCCACTTCCTGCTCGGAAGCAGCCTCCCAGGTCTCCCTCGACCTCTGCCATCTCTCCCTGAGATCTGGGTGCACTTGCGGCCTTGAAATCTCATTTCTGGGCCTCAGAGTATGGCAGTTCAGTCAGCTGTGCCTTTGTCAGCTCTTGAGTTTAGCTGTCTCCGCATAATTCCACCAGTTGATTTTTCCTAGTTGCTCATAACTCATCTTTCCTGGTTTTGTCTTTCCCTGAATGAGACTTTTCTTGGTGCTTCTTTCTACAATACTTGTTTTCACTGCTGTTGGTACTGTTGGAAATTTATCACTGCCATAGATCCCACACCTGCTACCACCACATATGTCACAGTTCCAGAGGTAACTGCACCTCTGACCCAATCATGGTCTCCGTGAGGTTCTCCCCCTTAGGTTTCAAGTTTGAGCCTCTTGCGCTCACCTTCCTTGGGGTGGAATCCTATGATTCTCTCCCTCTAGACTGGGGTCTTTGGCTGCAGACCCCTGAAATTCACTATGATCGCCTCAGCAGGTCTGACTTCAGCACCTGCAGTTCTCTTCTCTCAGGAACAGCAACAGGGTTATTGAGTGACCCAGTCAGCTTTCATAAAGCAAAGTACTATTTATTCAGAGCAAATGCATTTCAGAGAAAACATAATTAAAAGCTTATACACAAGCCTAGCTTACCAGGTGGTCACCCACCTTCCACATGGAGAACCTGGTTGGTCTAATAGAAACAGATCCTGTGGGAGGACCTGAAGTGTGTGTTGGTCACAGACTCATGCCTGTCAGTTCTCATAATGGTATCTCTCTCCCCAGGTCAGGATCTGTTATTTTATACAGTTTCCAAGCCATGACTTACAAAGGCCTTTGAACCAGTTTAAACCAGCTTGTGCGTTTTTCCCCAGGGGATAAAATTTAGACTTGCAACCGGCATTGTTTCAGTATTGGGAATTTTCATTAATTGCTCTCCTGGTGTCCTTAATTCTTGCAGGTATCATTCTGTATCTTAGCCATGTATTGCTAGCAATACAACCACTAACAAAAAGAGCAGGTCAAAACTCAATTTCCATTTATCTGAAAAATTGGACATTTTGACATTTGTTTTCTTTACAAATTGAATTAAAACAGTTTCAAAAAGTTTCCTGAGAAACAGAACTTCTAAAAAATGTTTTGGATACTGTGTTTCATTTAATGAGTTCCTCATTTTTATATCCTTACATTTCATGTTAGTACCATATAATATGCACTATTGACATGTCATAATATAACAAATTAAAAATAGAATATTTCAACTATTTTATTTTTAAAAATCACTGAGGGCAGATGTTATTTAGTACGGACTGAAACAAATCAAAGTGTCTCCTGTTTGCATGGTAATGAAACCACTGGAGGGTTGATTCGTCCTTTAAAGCAGGGGTTCTCAAACTTCATTGCATCGCGACCCCCTTCTGACAACAAAAATTACTACATGACCCCAGGAGCGGGGACCGACGCCTGACCGATGCCCGAGCCCCACCCCTTGGGTGGGGGAGCCAAAGCCCAAGCCTCACCGCCCTGGGCGGGGTGGACCAAAGCCAAAGCCCAAGGGCTTCAGTCCCAGGCAGGGGGCCTGTAACCTGAGCCCCGATGCCCAGGACTTGAAGCCCTCAGGCTTCAGCCCCAGGTGATGGGGCTTGGGCCCCAGCAAGTCTAAGCCAGCCCTGGCGACCGCATTAAAATGGGGTCACGACCCACAGTTTGAGAACCCCTGCTTTCAAGTATATTACAAAGAAAGATACCAATAGTAATGCATAAGCCTAGAGAGCACTGGGAGGAATGACAGTTCCCCAGCTATCAGACTACTGCTCCTCTTGGTACTACATCCCTTTGGGGAGGTCATGACAGCCAGCTGAAGACAGGACTTGGCTGAAATGACTCCTGCCTCATCTCAACCACTTGTGGTCCTTTCACTCTTCCCTCACTCTCCACTCCCCCCCCCCAAACACTGGTAAAAAGGGTGTGATCTCTTACCCAGAGTAATGCTTTTTAGAGTTCTTCTTTCTGACGACACACACGATAACCGCGATGAGCAGCAAGACAACTAGAGCCACACCAATGGCTATCGCTACCACCATGCCAGTGGGGAACGCAGGCAGATTGTCTGGGGGGGAAAAAAGATTCAACACTTTGCTTTGTTTTCTAGTTAGTAAAAATGTGAGCCACAAAAAGCCTCCTTCTTCCCTTAGATCCTTTCAGAGCAGGAGGAAGTCACAGAGTCAAGGGTGAACACATGCAGCACAAACGGAAAAGCTAGCTGAGGACAAGCAGAGTTCCGTCTTTCTGAGCATGCATTCGGAGTACTTTACATAAGAACAAAAGTTTCCATAAACCAAGGATAAAGCCTGCATTTTAACCATTCAGAAGTCAAGGAGTGCAGAAGTTGAATGTACAAGAACCTTGACTCATGTTACACATTACTTTGTTCTCAGGTACATCTGTGCAAATCCCATTGAGGTCAGTTGGAAAAAACAAGCACATCTGAGGGAAGAAATGGGCATAAGTAACATATATTGAGATCTACTGATAAGTATGTAGCTGTTGTATCACACTTAAGTAGCATGCATACAGCACAATTATAATCCAAGAGTATACCTGTGAGCAAAGAAAGACTACTTCTAGAGTCTTTGCTAGTGCTTCCTCAACCTTAATACATCACTGCACATATCTGTAATGTTTCCTTTTCAAGTTATCAAAGAGTGACAATATTACTTTGCTCAAATTGTCTCCAACACACACCTTTTGAGTGAGGCCAAGTGAACAGCCAGAAGAGTTAAAAAACAAAAGGAGTACAAAGATAGTTTATAATGGAAGTCTGAGTCATTAACTATACCATTGCTGTTTGGAAAAGCTATCATACATAATTGCAAGGTTTTCCACACCCCTCACTTGTTTCAAGGTCTCCAATTAAGGCTATAAGAGTTTGAACAAGACAGTCCAGGGTTGCATCTACTTTAGATAACTGCACCACTGCAGCCTACCCCAGGTACAGTTGAACTAGTCAGGTTTCAAGGGTGCAGAGCATCTGCACTAGGCATTTGTTTCAGCCTACTCATGTACTATGCCCACATAAGCCATTCCCACAGCAAGCACTGTAGGGTATATAGGTTGCTGTACCCTAGAATACTGCAAATGCCCAGTACATCTCCCTGTACAAGTGCACTAAGTTCATGGAATATTCACACATTTCGTCTTTCCACATTTTGTTTTGCCCCCTGCATGAGCTGCCCATTCATCGTAAGGGCTAAGGACTATGTCATCACTCTAGTGGATGTCATGATGAGGCAGCTGCTTCTTCTACACTTATTACAATGGGCACCCTACTTTTGGGGGGTGGGGATATGTGCAGAAACCGGTGATGAGCAGATTTTTATTCTTCCCATCTTTTAGTTTTAACTTTGTTTTTTTT